CACCATGTTGACCAGGATGGTCTCGATCTCTTGACCTCGTGATCCACCCGCCTCGGCCTCCCAAAGTGCTGGGATTACAGGCTTGAGCCACCGCGCCCGGCTGAAACCATTTCTGAAAGTTTTATTTCTTCATCTGTTAATGGAAGGAAATAGTTTATTCTCACTGAGTCACTATGAAGATTAAATAATATATGCAAAAGCCATTTGGCACAATGCTTGGTACTTAACACTTTCATTAATGATTCCTCAATTTTAAGACAGGCATTTTCAACATTTCAACATTTCTGATATAAGGGTAATATTCTACAATGTGAACATTTCATATGGTAGTTTTTAAAATCAGTAAGTTCTTAAAATCAATGGCTTATTAAGATCAGTAAATACTATACTAACTTTTTTTTTTTTTTTTTGAGACCGAGTCTTGCTCTTGTCTCCCTGGCTGGAGTGCAGCGGCACAATTCTGGCTTACTATAACTTCCACCTCCTGGTTCAAGCAATTCTCCTGTCTCAGCCTTCCAAGTAGCTGGGATTATAGGCGTGCGCCACCACACCCGGCTAATTTTGTATTTTCAGTAGAGATGGGGTTTTACCATGTTGGCCAGGCTAGTCTTGAACTCCTAACCTCAGGTGACCTGCCTGCCTTGGCCTCCCAAAGTGCTGGGATTTCAGGTGTGAGCCACCGCACCTGGCCCTAACATTAAATTTAAATGTCACTTTATTTTCATAGTCTTTCTTAATTTCCTCCCACCACAAGCCAAGTTTCTGTATGTTCTCGTAACAGTTAGTAAACTGTTTTATAAGTGTTTACCTATCCAACAACTCTATAACAGATAGCCTTTTTGAGAGTAGAACTCTAGCTTATTTATATACCGAGGATCTCACACCATGGTATGTGCACAAATTAGATACACTTACTAAACACTCTGTGGATGCTTGATAAAATGTTTTTAAGAAAATATGTAATTAACAGAGCTCAACAAAAGGCAGAGCTAAGAACACTGTCATGCAAGGGTGATATAATGATTTGTCCAACCAAGGAGTCGTTTCATGACTTGTTCTTGAAAGTAGAGATATGAACTCTGCACCAACTGGACTTATCCTTATAAAACACCTGCATGCCCTCATTCACTTTTTGTTTCTGGACCTCCTCCCAGATAGTCATCTTCTGCCCCTCTCTCAGAACCACCCACTTGTGTGAATAATAAATCTTTCTTTAATCATACCACATGACTGCTGTCACAAGTTCTGACATCTGAACTTAACCTTGGAAGGAAGCTTCCCTTCACCACAGTGAATCTGTAACAGTATCTAAGAAGACAACGTCAGCAGTGATGGCAGGGCTTTTGAAAAATCTCCACAAATCCTCCACATAAATACAGAAAACACCTTCATAATGAACCCCAAACCCCAGACAACATTTACAACAAAGCTAGGTAAAACCCAGGATACAAAATGGTACAGAAAACTTCTAACAGTCATTAAGATATGGCTGATAATGGCAACTCTCCAGGATATGAGACAGAAACAATAGGACATCTGCAGGACAGAACACACAAAACAGACAACACTGGGAAGCTCAGTAAACCAACCTGAGAACAGCAACCAGCTATGGGCTCTGGCCACTTCAGGAGTAAATGAATACAATGAATTCATGGTCAGGCACTGAAAGATCTAGCACTATGCTTTAACCTATTGTGGACTCTCAAAATTGACTTTCCTGGGCTCCCTTCCAGACAAAGCCCCATAATGAAGAGAAATCACTGCGAGCAGACTGAAAAGTGTGCATAACTGGTATAGGAGAAACAATGGAAAAATAAGGTACAGAAAAAAGCAGAAGGAAAGTGGGAGAGCAAGGAAATCCCAGAAAGCTAGCTGCCATAGTTTTTAAAGGCATGCACATAGACATGAGAGTTCTGTAAAACTTATGATGAACTCTGCCTTCTTCTGTATGTTCAAGCAGAAAAGTTTCACCTGAAAATAAGAAAACAAAGTACTAAGGTCAAATCCCATTAAAGGTATATAAAAATAAGAAAAGGATAAAGTGAAGAATAACATCCCTACAGACAATAAAAGCATACCACGGCCAGTTGCGGTGGCTCACGCCTATAATCCCAGTACTTTGGGAGGCCGAGGAGAGCAGATCACGAGGTCAGAAATTCGAGACCAACCTGGCCAACACAGTAAAACCCTGTCTCTACAAAAGATACAAAAATTAGCCGGGCGTGGTGGCATGCGCCTGTAATCCCAGCTACTCGGAGGCTAAGGCAGGAGAATCACTTGAACCAGGGAGGCAGAGGTTGCAGTAAGCCAAGATCATGCCATTATATTCCAGCCTGGTCGACAAGGAGAGACTGTGTCTCAATTAAAAAAAAAAAAAAGTATGCCAGAAAGATATGGAACTAGAACAAATTAAATTGATAACATTTCAAAACAGCCAAAGTCTTTAAAATAAGATACTAGTCATAAATGAAGAACACAAATTAGAATCAGACACCTCAGAAGTCAGGTCATAGAACTTGATGAAAGAATGAGAAATAAAAAAATACATCATTTCAGAAATGAATTCTAAGAAACAATATAAGAATGAATAAACATAATACATAAAGAAAAGGAAATAGTGAAAAGGAATATTACAGAATAAAAAAAAAATTTTTTTAATAAAATATTTGAAGGACAAAGGACAAGGGAGAGAACGGAACTACACTGGAACAAGGAAATAACTCCAAATGGTAACTTGAACCCTCGGGAAAAATGAATACCAAAAACAATAAATATGTAGGTTAATACAAAAGACTTTATAAATAATGTTTTCTTTTTCCTTTAAGCTTTATAACAGATGTAAGATTGTATAAAGCAATACTTATAACCCTGTATTAGACATAATAGAAATGTAATATAAATGACAATAACAGCACAAAGGATAAGAGAGAGAATAGAGATATACTTAAAGTTTATGTACTTTACATAATTAATATCACCACAAAGTAG